ATGATGATGATGTGCAGTTGTTGTTTAAAGGCAGTGCTGAATTTCCTGGTGTGTTACAGAATATGATAAATTATAATGTTGATTTGTTGCTTAACTGGATTTCTAATAATGACCTTATTATTAATACTGGTAAGACTAAGGCCTTGCTGTTTGGTAATTGTGGTGGTAATAATTTCTCAGTAACTTTGGGCAGTGATTCGATTGAGTTTGTAGATAGGATAAGGTGTCTAGGTGTCATTCTGGATACAAACTTGAGTTTTGAAGGCCATATTAACTCAGTGGTATGCAGAATCAATTTTACTTTGTGTAAATTATACAAATTAGTTTTGATGTTTCCTTTTTATATTAAGGAGAGGGTTGTCCATGGACTAATTATGCCTATTTTTTATATGCCTTGGAAGTGTATAGTGGTAGCTTGGAATATGTTTTAAAGAAGTTGAGATTGGCTTTTAATAGAGTGATACGATTCCTGTACTCTCTTAGAATACGGCAACATATTGCATCTTATGTTGTAAAATTTCTGGGACTTTCTTTTGAAGATTTTATAAAGTTTCGATATTTGATACATTTTTATAAGTCTTATAAGTTGCAAACTCTAAAATATTTAGTTTACTTATTTGAATTTTGTAGATCTAATAGAAATAGACAATTAAAAATTCCACTATTAACTCCCATATTAGAAAGATCATTTCAGGTTAGAGTGGCACGTTCTTATAATAAATTACCAAATTCTTTGAAAAAATTTAATGTTTCTTCCGATACATACAAAAAAAGGCTCTTCCGAGAATTATCCCAGAATAATTCTGTCCAATAGATGTAGTAGTGAAGTAGTATGTGTTTTACTTAGTAATGCTTGTATATTTAACTGGTAATGAAATAATATGAAAAAAATAGTTGACAAATTTAGTTACACTTAGTTATGTTCTGTTTTTATTGGGAAGTTATGTTTTGTTTGTGCATACTAAGTGTAGGAAATGACTCATACATTTGTTATAAGGTCATACATTGTCGTGTAGGTGTTTAGTGGTGGTATTTTGTATGTGCATTTGGCTTTGAATAATCTTCACCATCTTTCATGATGGAATAGTATTCTTGGTTCCATAACTGTATTTTTTTTATTTTTTTTTTATAATTTGCTGTTATTTTGTGATTTTAGCTTGTTTCTCTATAACCTAAATTTATTTATTTATTTATTTATTAAAAATTCATTGTAATATAAAAGTCCCACTGGACCAAAATAACTTATATTACATAGACAAAAATACCTGAATATAATACATATGTACATGTGAAACTTATATAAAAGAAAATCCTATTCAATGCCACTTATAAATAATTATCGCTAATGGCTCCCCAACCATAAAATATAATAAAATTATGTAAAAAATGTCCCATCAATAGCAGCAAGATACACTTAAAATTCCATTAATCTAATTATTTCATTAAAGAGAATGTAATAATACTTCAATATTTTAATATTTTAAGCACATTCAGATAGAGCCCTCAAAGTATTTCAGGAGTTTCAGACGAAATACATTATTCGAATGTGAAAATATTCGAAGTTCAAAAGGCAGTAGATTCCACCACCGAGCTACTCTTACTACAAAAGCTTTATCAAATAAGTTATTGCGTATCATAGGTATAATAACCTGAGGATTTCGGGTGGAACGAGAAAAATTAAATTCCGATCTCAGTTGAAACGGCAATCCGCTTTTAACCACCCTAAAGAACATCAATAGATTTCTAAGTGATATAAATTCCCTAAATGAACAGCCTAAAAATGATCTTACATATCCAGAAATATGCATCCTTCTACGAACATTATAAACATAACGAACGATTACATTTATAATTCGATTTAAACCTAATTCACCTTTTATCTTTCTTCAATACTTTGAAGAGTTTATATTATTAAAAAACTTTGGCTTATAATATTTTAAAATTATGTGCCAATTTACTTGAATAATTGCATTTCTAAATAATTTAATTTATTCATTTGTTTTTGGGAAAACTATTATTACTTACATATATTTACCCTTTCTTAGCAAGCAAAGATATTAAAATAGTATTGTTAAATTTTTAAGATTTTTTATATTGTATTTTATTTTATAAGGAAATCTTGTTGTATTTTTTTAGTAGAAATTTGTAACCGTCTATGGCCTTATAAAGGCTAGGTTATGGTAATAAAATAAATAAATATATAGTTTGCTATCAAAGGATGCACCTATGTAGTGGACAACTTCGTTTAAAGCGGCTTCCACCGATCGTCCCTTTACATAAGCATGCTGCTTAAATTTTAGGTCGGGTATACTGCTTTTAATCATACGACTATCCGTTCCAAGGTTTTAAGTAGGAATGACGTAAGACTTATCGGTCGATAAGACTTAGGTGTCCTTAGGTTAGGTTTTCCTGGTTTAGGTATAAATATTACCCTTGCATCATGCCATTTAATGGGGGTATATGTGAATTTCAAGCATGCAGTAAATATCTGAGACAGATGTACGGAAACCAGTCCCGCCTCCAACTGTAAGAGTGCCGGGAAAATGCCATCCGGCTCTGCAGCTCTATAGGGAGCGAAGCTCTTGATTGCCCCTTTAACCATATCAGATGTAATTACAATTTCCGTGTTAGCCTCCCCTTCCTCCAATATCGGTTTATCTATGTTATTCGATATAGCGGGTGGGCAATGAGAATCCATTAGGAGTTTCATTGTCTCCTCCATATCCTCCTGCCCGTATCATCGACCGTAGATTCCAGTTGCACATGAGTTTTGGATAGGAATTTTTTATCTTCGATACGCTGTCTACCTGTTCACAGAAAAGTTTCCAGGAGTCTCATTTGGCTTTACGAACAATTTTCTTATGTTCACCAAGTTTACTACGATACTCATCCCAGTATACTGCGTTCTTTTTACTTTCATATAGATTTATCAAAGTTTACATCTGTCTATTCCTTTCGTTTTGAGATTTAGATGAGAAACATACATATTAACAACTATCTGAGACTGGTTTAATTTTGCAAATCCCTTGATTTCTTTTCTAAATTTATTAAAAAATATTAAAATAAAATTATATATTAATTTTCCTAGAAACAACTTTTTTTTGATTATGCCAGTCTTGTAGCATATAGTTTTGTAGATATATTAAAAAGAAAGCTGAATCTGGCGAATAAAAATAATTTCTTTAGTAATATTATGTGTAAAATTTCAAGCCATTAAGTATGTAAAAATTAAAATTAATTTTTTCGGGAGGATAAACTAGTTCCTATGTTCATTTTGCAAATTATTTAAGGCCGCTTATCACAAAATTAATTTCAAAATTTGTCTACTAAACTAAAAATTGTTTTAGCTGTGTTTTAAAAACAAAAACCGAGGAAATGCGCATGCTAATCCTCCCAACAAAACATAAAATTAATGGCTTGAGATTTAATAAATTTACTAAAACATTGTATCAATTCAATACATAAACTTAAATAATTTTAAAATTAAATTAATTGAATCTCTTTGAAATATGTGGGGACTAGTACTTGAATAAATTTCCTACTATAAACATTTTATTTAATAAAACACCCATGCGTTCTGTCCATACAGATATCAAAACTTTAAAAGTCCGGAGCTTAGTCTAAAACTTTTAGTTATAAGCATTCTGAGTTAAAATATTGAAAAATGTATAATAAAATTGCAAAATGTAGGATATGTAAGTAAATTTATATAATATAAAATAATTTTAAAAATCTATTTATTAGATGTTAATCTTAATGAAAATGTAAATACTTTGTTGAAAATCACCCTTCAGTTGTCGTTGTAAAATTTTATTTGTGGTGTTTTGTCTTCGATATCACTTCTACGCTAGTTTGACATTTTCTAACAGTCTTGAGACGACGTCGACTGATTTTTCTTTAGTATTTTTTAATTTTTTATTTGACAATATCTTAATTAATAACTGAGTTCACACAGTCATGTACGATTAACAATTCTACTAATATTTTGGTACTAAATACTACTTAGACAGATATTTTATATAACGAGTTAAAAAGTTAAGTAAAATCAAAGACTTTATTATTTTATTTATTTTTGGGAATCTCCTTGGAACATTACATTTTTCCCTGATTTTTATATAGTACTCCCCGAACTGTTTTCTCTGGATTCGTGTATTGAGATAACTTACAAATTCGCCAACTTTGCCTCTAAGGTATTAAAATTATCCGCCATTATAAACGTTTTGAATAAATAAAAAAAAATATCTAAAAATATGTAGTTGGTATATTTATAATAACAATTTATAATAGATATAGTGGGGTCGAATGTTGAAATATATTATTAAGACGTTTTAAAGTGATAACTTCAAAGATATATAATGTTTGTGAAAATAAATACATATATATTTAATGGAAATAAACATCTGGATTTTTTAGGGGATTTTTATTTTATTTTTTATATTTGTTGGGATAGAAAATTACAGAAAACTTGGATCTAGTCGAGAATATTTAACTTTTTTTGTAACTTTCTAACCCTCAGCACTTTTTTAAGTTCATTTCCCACTTTTTAATTGCTTAATTAGAATACAATTTTTCTGGCGTTAATGATTTATTATTATTTTTTTTTAACTTTTAAAGTCTTTGTCGAGATTTTAAAACTTACAGTTACAGCATAATTCTATTTCGACCGAATTGCGTATGGACAGGACCGATATTGCTATTGTTGTCAGTGTGTTTGGTATTATTATAGAATCAAGTTTATTCCACCTTTTTTTTTATTAGTTTGTACTCAAAATGGACAATTGTTTATTTTGTAAAACTTTAGGAATACAGTAAAGGTTTAATTTGCCATACTTTTGTTTAATTAATCTCTTTTGTTATTTTTTAATTTCATTTTATATTTTGTTGTTTGAGTTGAAAATATTTTGTTTTTCCAAGACATATACAAAAAAGATTTCAATCAACAAATGGTCCAATGGCCCTTAATCATATAAAAAAAACAAAAAAATATTTATTCATTATAGATTATAACATCTAATAAAAAGAAAAAATACACTTCTAATGCTCAAACAGCATCATTAGCGTCTAAACAACAACATCAACAACACCAAGTGGCATTATTACAAAGTGTAAATAAACAACAACAATATCATATAAATAAAGGTTACAATGTGGTTTCTATATCTATGAGTAGCAATACTATAAATACGGCGGCAGTAACAGGAAGCGGAGGGGTCCAACAGCAAATACAACCCCAGCAGCATTCATATCATGTGCAACACCATCAGGGTCATGTTACGCAGCACCATCAGCCACATCAGCCATCCATAGTGAACTGCAAAATAAATCAGAATTTTATTACTCGAGGAGCCAACATGTCTCTATCATCTGCTGCAGCTGTTGCTCCTTCAACTGGCAACGGATCTGTAATATGTACAACAAATGCTGTGCTTACATTACATCATAATGGTCAACACTCTTGTCCAGAACCTTTGAATTCTCAAGCGATGTTTAATATGTCTACTCATAGGGCAGTTGGTGCGACTGGTTTAAACACGTCATTACCATCATTAGTTTCAAGTGCTAATGGCAACAATCAAATTGATACGAATTCTTCAGCTCTCTTAGTTGGGAATGGTGCCGAAGTTGTGGTAAATGATAATAGTCATAATATTGGCTCCCTTCAAGGTACCACTAATATGTATGGATGTAGCACGCCACCTACGAGCGATGGGGGTTTAATTACCTTAAGCAGTACCATGCACGCTGCTGGCGCCAATACCTTGCCGCTATCTTTAGGTGGAAATTCTGCTGTGAATGCAGCACCTTCTATAAATTCAAGTCTGACGGCTGCATGTGGCTCAAACTCTACTTCCTACATCACTTCCACAACAATACATGATAAAATCAACATTGGAGTTAACATGGGCTGTCAAGACACTAGAAAATATGACTACAAAACCAATAAATTTAATACAGCCGCAACAGCTATCAACTCGTCAACTACACTAAATAATAACTATCAAATGCATGCAGAGGTATGAGATTCGATGCTTTGACCGGTAAAAATTAGTAAAAATATAACTAGTAAAGAACGTTTGAGTAGAGAACCTAATTCAGCTGTCAAGAAACCTAAGCTGATAGATTCTGAGTACAATTGGAGGCCAATACATTAAACGACTCATTAAAATATATTCACTTGAGTACAGGAGTGTTAGGGTTTGTCTTTTCTTATTAAAATTGTGTATAAATTCGATAAAATTCTCACAACATTTATCAAAGAAGTTTTACAATCATTTTAAGGTAAATACATATACATATAGAGATTTTCTATAAATAGAAATTGTGTTATTTTCGGCTACTTCGGTTAGTTTAAAATAAAGATGTATGTTACATCATATTCGAAGATATATACCTTGCCCACAATCGGACATCTTTACTTCTTTACGAGAGTCATTGGAGTGAAACGAATCCCGACCTCAATATTGACCAACTCACTACCAATTAATCTACCAGTTGCACTCAATTAAATAGTATTAATTAAGAGAAAAAATTAAAAATCAGAAACAAAATTTAAAATAGAAAATAGGTATTGGCTGTGCCATTTTTTTGTAACTTTTTAACCACGTGTGCTATAGGTTAAATTTTTGCTTGTATTTTATTTTTATATTTTGCAATAAAAATAATATACAACTTTTTTCAAAATTTATTTGTTGCATTTGCTGTATGAGTTTAAAAGTCTGAACCTGCGTAGAGTACTTACATTAATAAAATCTTACTTACACCTGTTTTGATTGTGATTGAATTTAATTAGACTGTCATTGGATATAAATGCGAATTACACGTTTGCTACGTGTAATTTGCATTAAGAAACTGTTTCCTTTTTAATCTATAAATTTAAAAATTGTCGTTAATGTACGAATTTGTTTCGGTACCGTTTTTACATGTTTTTCTTCTCAACTTAAGCGTTTGAATTATTCTTTTAAACTTTTTTTGCTGCATTTTATAAACCTAAATATCTAATTTGTTGTAATTTAGTGATGTTATATAAAAAAGACTCACCCGCTCTATCAAAATCTTTATCTTTAAATCTAGCCTATAAAGAATTTCATGACACAGACTAACTGCTATTTTTTATTGATGTTTTATGTATATAATACCATTATTTTTTCAATAATTTACTCATTAGCAATTTAAGAAGTGATTTCCATAATATTTCATTAGGCGCCAACAATCAAGTAAAAATCCATCTCTTTTTTATGGAAAATTTCTTCTTACATTTGTATCAATACTTTAAAAGTCCTAAATTTCATCTAAAGAAAACAATAATAAAAGAAAAAATTATCTATCAATATTATATTGCAAAAATGCATTTAAAGGCAGTATTTTGTAATGTCGAATATATTAGACAAAACCACAGAAATGGTTAATAGATAATAGCATACCTCTTGCAGCCAAAAAAAAAAATAGTACAATTACATTTTTATGTATTAGGTCTAAATTTTATATAGTAAAAATACTTAATAATGCCACAAAAAAGCGAAATATCCAACACCAAGTCTAATACATGAACACTAACATTAAAAGTAGGTCCAACAATAATCGCAAAAAAAAAAATAAATCATTCGTTAATAATGCTTATTTTATTATATTGTATTGAAGTTTATTATGTATGTAATGATCAGGAATTTAATAAGTGTTTACTATTTTTTAATAGAATAATACGTTATGTCTATACATTAAGACAATTATTTTCCAACAAGGTAAATATTAATAACGAGCGACAAAAACTAAAGTTTTACGAATTTTCTTTTCACAAAACGACTAATTAATTCAAATTTTACTAGTTTTTTGTAGATATTTATAATACAAAAAATATATGATTTTTTAACATATGACTTGGGAAATAGTCAATAACTTTGTTGTCTGACCTTTAATATAAATGTATTATACACACCTCGAAAGAATTATAAGGTAAAAGAATTATAGTCGCATAGCTTTACAACTAATTTATTTTTCATATTCTTGTAACATGGTTTAAAAACCTTCTGGGGATTTTAATATAGACAAGTAAGTTATAAAAATAACTTTCACTTTAATTCATTTAATTTGATTTATTTCAAAATTAAACCTAGCGGTTACAAATTTCTGCTTAAGAAATAGGTGTACATAAAAAATAATAATAATAAAATAAATAAAAAATATTTAAAAATTAAAAAATAAATTAATATTAAAATATTTAAAAATGTTCGATTAAAACGTCTAAAGTCAAAATTTTACGTTTTAATATATTGAACAAATTTCACCCTTTTATAAAAAATATTTTGAAATTTCCAAACAAATAGTTAATTTTTTTTCGAAAATTTATGTCAGTTTTAGGCTTATTATAATGCAAGTTATCCGAATAAGACCCTATTTGTAATAAATATAAAATTTTAAAGCAAATAATCATTGAAATTAATTAGTAGAATTTAAATCAATATTTTTACTGTTAAACATGACATTTTGTGACTTAAACATAAACTTACTTAAATGAATTAATCATATAAAAATGCTGTCGCTATAACCATAGTCTTGTGGAAAAGTTCTGGAATATTATATACTAAACGATCATAAAATATTTAAATTTAGTAAATCATGTAGTTTTCAAGGTCATTTCGAAGATAAGTGGAAAACTATAAAAACTTAAAATTTTGTGGAATTACAAAGATTGCATTTGCGTAACTTGCGCGTATTTTAGACTAATAATTAACCCTTTCAGGGTCAAAAATAATTTATGTCTAGAAAAAAACTTGAAAACTTATATTTAAGATAATTTGAGTATGCTGAATCCGGGAAAAATAATATTTTTTGAATTTGAGTTTTCCCTAGTGAGTTATAGAAGGTAAAGTTAAATGTCGAATATATTCGACATTTGAAAAACAGTCTCCAAAAAGTACCACCAATATTTTTTATGATTTTTTTTTGTAAAATGTCTTCTTAAACTTCTTTCAATACAATACAATTTAAATCTGCATAGTCTGATCTCTTAAAATACAATTTTTTTGGCCATTAAATGAAGCTGTTTTTTAAACGTTGTTAAAAAGCACTTTTTAACAAGTAGTCATAAGTGACAATTTCTTAAAATCTGATTTTTAAATACTTTTAAAAAACGGAATATCTTTCAAAATCTCAATTATAAATATAACAAAGTCTTCATTTTCATCTAAAAGAAAAAAATGAAAACTAGAGTTAAATATTATACCCAAAAAATGCTTAAAATCAGAGTCTATTGTAATGTCGAATATATTCGACAAAACCACGGAAAGGGTTAAATTATGAGATTAATTTATTTTATATAAAAACTTCTTAGATAATAATAAGTTCATTTAAAATTCGTAGGTCTTTGTATAATTCACCAACATTTTTAATGGGAAGTACGAATCGAGACATTTATTCTAATGTTTCTATATAAATAATAAATATTCACATGTATATAATTATTTATTTATTTATTTATTTCAATTCAGGTAATAATAAGAAGCCATATTTGGCCAAAAAACATTATTACAGAGCTTACATCTAAAAAAAATTCAAATTTTACAATTTAATTACTTAAAATAAGTTGGAATTAAATATAGGAGGCCCCCCCGCCAAATTTGTAAAGAATAAATAACAATAAAGTAAGGTCCATGATAGTAACAGCAATGTTTATATTAAAAATATATGAAAGGAGATTATGATGACTCACACATATGCAAATATAGTTTATGTTTGAATATGTTAGCCGAATTTGCAAACACCCTAAGATCTGGTGGTAGGCAGTTCCAGAGACGGGCAACTCTCACAAGAAAAGAGTGTTCAAATATAGATTTAAATATTCGGGGAATTAAAATTTGAACATTTGATTGATGATTTGATAATTGACAAAAGTTCTAAAAAATTGCTCATTTATCTATATGAAGTAAATAACAACAACAAAAAATGCAATTGTTGTAAATTGTTAAGTCCATACTTATTTAAAAATTATATGTTTTATATTCCTTAACAAGACCCAGCAAAAAGTTACATGACAAAGATGTTGTTTAATCAGAGGTGCAAGTGATGACGAAGTGGTTCGATTTAGGTGAAACATGCATGATTTTAACATTAGCGTGTCTTTGGAGATCATGTGCTTATGCGAAAATTTTGAATAATTGAACCAATGCAAATTCGATGATTCGAAAACGATGTTTCATTGGTTCAAGCTATTTGTTTTGAATGTGTTTTTGGAAAATATTTTAAATAAAAATATTATAATAAGTATGGAAAAATACATAAAATTATATTAAAAATAAAAATTATTTCTAATTACACATAAATCTCATTTGATTAAATTAACCATCTGAATTAATTTTTGAAGTTTTAAAGAAATTTTTTAACTGCGGAATAGGTTGAATTTAGGAAGTCATTTAGAATGAGTTGTATTAGCACTGTTATTAAAGAAGTCATGAAACTTACATTTCCTTTGCACTTGGCAATGGTTAGAGTTGTTAAATAAATGTAATCGGGTATGTCCTAATCTTACTCTAATATATTTTTGCAGATTCACTCTTTTAGCTTCATTCCTTAATTTTAATGGCACAATTGTTGAAGAATTCAAAAAAGTTCTAGTATATACTCAATTTTACACATTTCAATCGATTTCCGGCACGGGTACCCGTTATGCGATTTGGTCACCTCTAAGGACCATGTTTCTTCATATGTAGCGGATTTATTGGGTTGCTAATATATGAATTTTGTTAAAACCCTAATCTGTAATTGCCCTGATCATGTTAGAAAGCCTTTCGAATTTTTTCATTCTAATAGAAATACTCAATTTTTTAATTCCTGCAATAAATCAAATTTACATTAAAAAGCGAAATACAATAACGACTCTCTTTAGAGTAATTAAACACTTTTGTATTTAAAAAATGTCACTTTACACTTTATATAATTTCATTACGGGCACTATATTTGGGCTATAATTCACTCCATGTAATGATATATGTATATAAGTACCCCTAGCTGAATTATATAT